TACGGGCTAACGTGACCTATCCGCCACACACACAAGCGAGCTGACAATTGAGGCGAAATGGACGTAACCTAGCGCCGCTGCGCTGAGGTCCGAGCGAGAAAGTAAGACTGACCGGCACATGAGTTGTCACACAGTGGTAGTGTCTTGAGGAAAACTCAGTTGGTGTCAGCGTGGTTTTGTACGGTTACTGCCGCAGTATTCTGACGAGAGTTCACTGCAGATTGTACAGAAGATGCAACAGTGTCCTGAGTGAAGCTCAGCTGGTTCATCGTGGATAGGCATCAAAGTCCTGAGGACAAATGGATTGTTAGTTGCGCTTTCTAAGTCGCCGTATGGTAATTGGGTGTTTTAGGGGAGCTCGGAGAAATATGAGCAAGTTTGGCGGGACTTCACCAGCTCTTCAACAGAAAGTGTCCAATTGAGCAGGCGTAATCCATTTCACTGACCGTAGATACCAGGGGATACTAGTGTCTGAATAAAAATTACCAGCAAATTTTTAGTGTATTTTGTTACGTGTGATATCACAACCCTCTTTTTACACTATGACTCCCCATGGCCTCCTAAACCATTTTCTAGTCTCAGGGCCCGCTGGAATTCTCTATGGCCCCCAGGGGGGTCATATGGTTCCTTTTGAGAATGGCTGGACTAGACAGGCAAGCTTGTTGTTGGCAACAGCCACAACGTAGTCGGTACTATGAAAAAAGCGGGAGTGATAAGATTGGCCTAAGCTTTCATTTAACAAAATGATAGAATTGTCTTAGGAAAACCTCCGTGAGAAATTTCGCGCGATGATTGACATAAATTGAGCATGTGAGTCCAGCTTGACTAACGGGGTTGTCGAAATAAAACGCACTGTTCTCTGGGGAGGTTGATAGTTGTGATCGTTCTCTTGAAACGGAATGCGAATGCTTAATATCAGGTATTCCATCCCTACTGGTGGCACGTCGAGCAGGGCTAACTGGTGTGTGCCTAATGATGACTTGCATCAGTAGTCCGTATCATGGTCGGAACTTCTTTTACCAAACACGTTGAACTCTTTTGAAAGTCGTTCGCTGCTATATTTTCGAATTGGACCACTTATATACCGGTAAAATTCAGCCGCTTTGCTTTTTATGTACCGAGTGAGTCCTCTCTATGTCCTCTACTTAATATGCGGCTTCCCCATCTACTGGTTAAGTTTGATTCGCTGCATTATGGAATCAACAGTGATTGCCCAATGTTAGGAGCTTTAGGTTTGAATCGTGCTGTTGTAAATCATGTACTTTAAAAAATTTTCCCAACCAGGTTTATAGCTTTGTAATTTATTACGCCAACACACCTAGTTCCCCTGTTCATACTTTCCACACATGTCTTTGGACCCGTTGGGTTAGTTGGCAAATGGCTTGTAGTCCGTCACAGGCTCTTGCACATGAAACCCTCAACCTGGCCATTGGGGTAACGTACATTTCAGTTCGATCGGTAGGGGCTTACTGGTAGATAATTCACTGCTTGCTAAGCCTGACGGGAGTACACCGCAACTAAAGATAAATTCACACCCGCGCCAGAAACAAACTTATTACATTTGCTATTGGTAGTGTGAAACCAAAATTATGTCATCAGCTGTGCTCTCCAACTTGATAAAAAACAAGTCAATTGCACTGTATCCCTTACTGCCCTCCGGTATGCTCCATGTAACATGAGCATGAACACGAACCTGCATAACACTGGTCTTTGTGAAATTTCGTCGTAATTAGGCTTAGGCAGACAGACGCCACACATCCAGGTAGGCGCTCTTTAGCTACGCCCTCTGGCTTCGCTTTTCTCGGCAGAGGTGCAGGTGGTCGGCTGGGCTAAACCACGCTCTGCCGCATCACCTGCCTCATGTTTTGTTCCACGTTTGTTGAATTCACCTATTCTTGGTAATTCCACTCTGATTTCGGGTCTCCGACAACGTGCCGCCTTGAGTAACAGTTCTAACCATGTCCATGAGCAGCTCAAAACCGTTTATGTGTCACATAATCTCAAGTCCCTCTCCGTCGACATATTGCCTTGCTGTGACACGCTTGCAGGACTGCAGCACAACACTACGACTGACATCACCTTCTGCGTGCTTCCACCGTAGGTTCACACTACACTTATCCGTAGACGCAACTACTGAAGCCGCGGGCTTATCCAGTGTTGGGATATCGTTGAACGCGCCAGAAACTGGCCTACTTGATTTGATTCCAATTAATAGCCGACTCTATACGTTTCGGCTAGAAAGCTCTGTACGACTGCCCAGCCACCAGATTACCAAACATTCTGTTTGTCATAGCGGCGTATTCCCCGCGCACTGCAGCACGGACTCAGCAAAAGATGTGTTTTGCCATTAACTCTCCTTTCTGAATTGACTACCTCACTTCAAGAAATTTGGGCCATAGAAATCATCCATCCGAGTTGGGCTTAGCGGACACCGTGCCAATCTACAAAACTGCTGACCCAACGGATTGCGCAAACTACCGACTATTAAGCCTTCTATGCGCTGGGCCAAATGCACTTTTACAAAGGCTCAGCTAAGCACGCGAACAACACTTACATGAAGAACAAGCTGGGCTTAGCCTAGGTCGGGGCTGTATTGATCAAATATTTACGATCCGCGAGACGCTCGAGCACCGTTGATCTTACGGCCCGCCTATCATCGTTGGCTTCTTGTACATACGCACAGCATTTGTCTAAGTTGACAGAGTTACCCTCTGGAGTTGTTTAGTGCGAAGGGGATTGCCCGTGAAGTATCTTAACAAACTCTAACCATTTATTCTCGACCTTCAGACGGTGCACGGGTTTATGATGGCTTTCGCCCCTTTTAATATCACTTGTGGCATGAGACAGGGTTGTCCCGTGTCGCTCTTCTTGTTCAACTTCGCTATAGACGCCATGTTAGTTAGTGTTTTGGGAAACTCTTCCCTGGTGGCGTCGAGTTACTCCCGGGTGATCGGCTCCGTGACTTGGAGTATGCTGACGGCGTCGCCGTAATCTATGACTCCTCGCAGGTTGCCCAAGACATGCTGCGCAGGTTGGAGATGTCTGTATCACAGTTCGGAATGATCTCTGCCTCTATCAAGTGCAAAGTCTTCCTCCAGGACTGGTTAGAAGCTGTTCCTACCCTCACACACTCCGGCTCTTCTTTGGAAATAGTGGGCAAGTTTGTTTACCTCGGCAGTTTCATCAGCGTGGGCGGATTGACGGATGAGATCAATTGACGCATCATCAAAGCCAGACTAGCCTTTGCCAAAATCCGACATCTATGGCGCCGGCATGATCTCACCCTTTCTTTAAAAGGTCGAGTCTACAATGGTACTGGAGGAGCATTACTCCTATGTACGGCTTATATACCTGGCCTTTTCGAGCGGTCGACGTCCAAAAAGTGCCGCTTTTAAATCACCGCTGCCTCCGGAATATTGCTGGTGCATCTTGACAGCATCGCATTAGCAGTGATGACGTTCGACGTCGGATCTTCAAATCAGAAAGTCTCCTTGGACCGCTGAGCTGCATAAGTATTTTACGTGAGCTCCGGTGGCCCTTGCATGTCTCCCTTAAGCTTGGTCAACGGTTGTCCCGCAGCGCATTTCTTTGCATGCGCCAATGTTGGCTGGAAACGATGGAGTGATAGTCAACATGTGACCTGGGTCCGTGGTGTCAAGACGCTGACATTACAGTTAGTCACGGTAGGGCGCTCCAGACTCCCAGGTTGGGGGCCCAAGGACAGTGAGCACGCCTGGTTTGTTGACCGGAATAGTACCCAATCGCGAACGTGTTGTGAGACTGTTTTCCCATGACTACGTTTTCTCCCCTCTTGATATTTTCCTTGTCTTTTCCCATATGATATGGCACTCTGCTAGCTTTTGATTTGTTAAATAAATAGATAAATGCTCTATTTTAAATTTGAATCAGCTGTACCTAGTTTATACTTGTAGTGGGATGAGAAGGATCCCGACACCAGGCTGTATTTTTCAGGTAGCAGATTCCGACAGCAGTATGGTACATGGGTTCGTGATGCACAACGTTGCGGATATGGATTTGACCGGATAGTGTACCTGTGTTTACTGACAAATACCTTGGACCAGTATTTGCGCAATCAGCACCGGTTGCCCTACTGGATTTTCACGTAACAAAATCTCACTGATGCAGATTCTTGTCAAAAGACAACATCTGATTTAATTCCATGCATTCCAAGCTGCTCTGACACTTAAAGTAGAATGTTTCCAGTGGGGAATTTTTGATACATATGATTCAGTTCGCATGCTGTGATAAATAAAGAGGAAGGGAAGATCTTAACTGACCCATAACAGCCATGAAAGTGTTAAGTGAACATTTTTAGTCATACTTGGTGGCCAAACCTCGCACACATCTTAACAGTTAGTGGATAAGTACCTTATAGTTTGCCCCCTAATTTCTGCTTAATTCACCGAATTTGTACCGGTGAGGCGTCTTGCTTGCATTTTGATTACAATGTTCCCATTCAGTCCGATACGTTCGAGAAATCCATAAAGCCTGGCTTTACCGGGCCTGAAAGTTCTTGCTCCCCACATGGCGACCTTCTTGGGATTGCTCACTGTAACGTGGTTGATGACCACAAACAGTATGACCCCACATTGATGAGCGTTTAACACTATGAAAGCAAACCTTTGCAATACTCGTAACCTTAAGATATCCGCCACACCTGCTCCTTATATGGTGTGCATTGGTCGCATACATTGGCTCCGACCGTTTCACATGTAACAATTAATAGCGGTTCAATCTCATACATCGAATGTTGGATTTTTTGGTTTAGATTATCTACTTGTACGGTAGTTGGCCATTTGCTTGCTTTCAGTGAATTTCATTTTATACGGGTTTGAAACAAAATATGTTTGTCGGAATGCAAAGATCCCAAAACACATATAGCACTTAATGAATACTTCCACCTGCTGTCTCACATTGTCGTGTTCTTTGGGTGAAGGCAACTTCACTGTTTGTACAATTGTGCCATTTGCTCTACTCAGGTGGTCTAGTGTCCAAAATGCTGCAGTCCAAGAAGGATTTCGAAACTGGCAACCTGTTACCCCATACAAAATTTGACCTCAAGGCAGGTGAACGAACTTTTGCGATTAACTTTTTCCACTACCAGCGTTTGACCTGCACATGTTACCTCTCGATAAATTGTACTACATTGAAGTTTGCTTGAGTGTTTTGTAATACGAGGCCAGAATGTCTCCTTGCTTAAGTGCTGCACTTTAACGCTTAACGCCTGTCGTTTTAAATGCGTGGTTCCGCCCTTCCCTGCCTTTGACCATTTATGACTAAGAGAATAATCTATATATTGTTTATCTCTGTACCGACATGATCCCTGCGATTTTCGAACATCTGGGAGCGATTGACTATTGAAACTACTGTAGCACCTAACGCACTGAGTGTTTGGTCAGCGCCTTACATCTTGAGAGCAAACAAGACGCTCCGGTACGCGGCCTATTTAGGGTCAATCAACGAAACGGGTCTTGTAAAGAAACTTTTCATATGCAAACTGCCTGTTGCGCTACAATTTTTCTACCGTACCACCTGAAGTCGGATTTAAGGTGTAACTGGTCAGTTCCATTGTGTAGTTTAAGACAGGTACTCAAAATCCAGGATAACATTTGCTTACGATAATTATGCCATCTCATGCACCCTAGTATACTGAATACTGCAATTAGAGAGCGTGAAAATTTACATCTCTATCATTCCCTCGTAGTTAGATCGGGCAACTGCACCGAATCACCTCGCTGTTCCTGCGCGACTGCTGTATAGCACAGCTGCCCTAAATCTCATCCGGGTGCAATACGCTTCCTATACCAGTAGTTCGCAAGGTGGGCGTCAAGGAATCGCTTGAATTCCGACACCAAGTTAGCCTCGACTAGCCTCTCCGGCAATTTGTTCCAATATTTCACCACTCTACACTCGAATCACAGAGGGTGAGCGATGTGTTTTAAATCCGTTCCCACTAGTTTGTAGCGGTGTTCGCGTGTGCTGCTTGGTGTGCAGACGTGCATCAGAGGCCCCAACATAGGGAAGTGGCCAGGTGCAGTATCCGGTGTGTCATGATGAGAGCAACTTGAAGCCGACGATACGACAAGGTATACGGTCGTCGTACGGTCCTCGTTCGACATACCCCGCAAACTGGGGATGAGCCGGATAGCTACATGCTGAACCTGTTCCAGTCTCTGCGTCTCACCTATTGTAAGACGTAAGACGTACTCAAGCACCGATCTTATCATGCAAGAGAACAGACGGGTGACCATGTCTTCAGACAAAGTGCAGAAGCTGCATCTACGTAGCCAAAGGTGGCGTACTTCTTTTGTGTACATTCTGTTCGCGTTGTCGACGGACTTCAGATCACAGCGTGTAATACCCCTACATACCTTACGAACCTCGTGGGATGTAGCGGTTGGACAACTGGTGTTTATACGCCCATCACCATCCTGCCGCAGATTCATAAATGATGACTTGACCGGGTTGACCAGCAGATAAGCTCCTGCAGACCACGGGACAGGCGATCGAGGTCCAGCTGAAGGATGTCACAGTCGTCCAGAGTACCAATTACTCTCCAAACCGTCAGGTTGTCTGCAAACAATGCACAGCGCGAGCGAAGAAGCTGAGGTACTTCGTTTATGTGGATCAGGAACAAAATAGGCCCCAGTACTGTGCCTTGTGGTACGCCACTATTGGACGGGTACCATTCCGTTAGGTGCTCTTCCACCCATATCACCCATTTTCTCCTAATGAAAAAATCCCTGATCTACTGGTGTAGTGCGCCACCAAAACCACACATCCTCAGCTTGTGGAAGTAAACCACATGGTTCACTTTATCGAAAGCATTACTGAAATCAACATAGATAACATCTACTAATTTCTCCCTGTTCAACACTTGCAACCATCCGTGCCGCGTTAACAGCAGTTTGGTGATGCAGGATCTGCCCTATCTGAAACTGTGCTGTGTTGGCGTTATGAGGTCTTTAGACTCTAATAGCTGGAGAATACCCTATTTCACAATCTTATCGAGCACATTCATCAAAATAAAGGTCTGACAAATCGGTAGATAATAGTTTACTTTATTCGCGTCACCCCTTCGGGATCTGCTTTACTGCCGAGCGTTTCCAATAGCTCGGCAATGTACCTTCAGACAACGATCTGTTGAACAGTCAAGTTACAGCAGGCAAGATGTTGGCCGATAGGGACTTTAGCATTATCGGATGGAGGCCGTCGGGTCAGGCAGACTTCGTATCATCAGGATTGACGAGTAGACTGCGGACGTCGTCCACAATGCAACCCATTCACTTGAGTTCCCTATCAGCTTCACGTTTCGTGGCCTGTCCTGTTCCTTTAAGTAAGGCCCTTTACTATGAAGAGTTAGTCATATAAAGGCCGCTAACAATGTAAAGAATTTCTCGTGTAGAAACATATATTACTGTAACCTTGTTGTTATATCGGGAAAAAGATGGCATTGAAATTTAATAGAACTTCTCAGCCTTTTTCTCTCCGAAAACGCCATATAATGATTCAATTTACCTGAAAATTGGTTGTATTAGTACGTTTCCTATTATTAGCAACCGGGTTGGCTGTTACAAAAGCAACCATACTTACAAACGTAAGTAGTGTTTAGTTACAGTTGTTTTATTTTGTCGTTTATATTTTGATTGGCACGCATGTTCGATGAGCTGTTTTCATTTTAGTGCCGCTAGTGTTTTAATTTTTAGAGAAAGAATTGATTTTCCCTAGACCCCCGCCAACCTCAAAATTCTGTTATTCTGGACATCTACAAAAGGGAACAAAGCTTGAATTTATTGTCATTGCCCTGCGATTCTCCGCTTTTTTATTTGAGACAGGTGCTTTCTGCTAGCGCTTACCTTCTGCGATCCGACTGTGCAGAACTCTTTGTCCTTTTTGAGCTATTACTAAGGGTTTATCGTGATGACGCTGGACGTACAATGGTCTGCACGCCTGTGATCGTTTGAGATACGCCAAATGTTGCGCTTCAGCTCCTTTCAGGGCAAAATTTGTCACACATTGCAGTGATCAGGATTGTGGAAAATCTGCTCCCTGCATCCAGCTAGTTAGAGACTTAGGAAAGACCTCTGACCTTTCTCAAACTTTGTTATAGGATGCAGCATAGTACGCGATCTAACCTCAGCCTCATTTGTGCATAATCCAAGCACCACCAATCCTCTATGACTATAACTTGACTACTCTCGCACATTTGTTTTGCTATTATATGTTGAAGCGTGGCGGAGCCCTCAAATTCGGCCGTTGTTGTTCTCGTTGGAAGATGAATTTACACTACCGACTGCGGATTCTATATTTTATTTAGAACTTTGAAGCAATTTGTTTTTTCTGATCAATTCTCAAGGTCCTTGTTGTCATACTCCGTCAACCATTTGAAAACCTTACGCTTTACTGCCTTAAATCCTTGCTTCATCGAATACGATCATAAAGACAGGAACACCTTCAAACGAATTAGGAATAAATATCTTGGAAAAAAGCGAAAACATCGTGCTGGCTGGCAATCTGGCCTCAGTCATTTTTCTGTTGGCAAAGCGCAAGCCGCACTGATACTTTCCAATAATGTTCTCTCGCTTCTTGGTAAAATCGGTGAGCTCAGTGCCATTATGCAGCGAAATGAGTATGTTAATACAGAAATCATTCTGTTACAAGAAATCTGGTTGCAGATTGTTGTGGAAAATGGAGTTATTCAACTCGATGCTTAGTTTCTCTTCCGATCTGACTGCTCCGGAAAGCGCCAGTTTCGTGGTGCTGGAGTTATAACTTACGTTAATCAACGTTGGTGCAACTCAGCAAGCGTACTGTTTGCATGCGCAACGATTTCTATATGCTGCCATTTAGTTGAATGCAAACTGAATTTCTTTAGTGACTTTCAGTCAGTCGTCGCGGGCAATGTATACATTGCTCCTGACATATCGACGTCAGAGTTATAGATTTTTGAGTACCAAGTTCCTTCAACGCTACTGCCTAAATTGGATTGTTCGATCTGTATTGTTTCTGGCGACTTTGAGCAGCTCAGATCATTGTATTTTAGAACTTTTTCTCGGCATATATAGCAGGTCTAAATTTCTAACACTGACCTTACCTCCTTAGAAAATTATCAAACGGAGAAATGGCTCCTTGGAAAATATCGCGAGACTCCAAACGATCTTTACTCTAACTGCTTTTTCGGTCTTCAGCGACGAGAACCTGTCGCTTCAATGTGACCATCTTACGGACTATATCAAATATTGCCTTAACATGTGTTGCCTTGTTGAAACGTTCTATCTAAGGGCAGATAGATTTTCATCACCACCAGTAAAGCGGATTCGAAGAATGAAATGATGGACTTACGAAGTGAAAGAATGCTACTCGTATCAAAGGCCTAACCGCAGCAACTAAATAGGAGATGAAAATAGTTAAACCACTTATACTTCGAATCAGTTCTAAGCAACCATAACTGTCACGATCTCTGGAGGCTTCTGAGGCAGCTCTATGGTAAGAGCGTTTGTAGCCAGAGCGGTGAAGTGGATGTGGATAAACTAAATTCTGAGTTTAGTTCCGTCTCATTAAGCTCACCTTCCTTGCCCTCCTTCATTAGCTCAAGTGCAGCTGTGCTCTTCGATCAAAGCAACGTTCACAAGGAACTCAAAAGATCAAAGGCAAACAAAGCTTGTGGTCCGGATGCTCTCTCACCATTAGCTTTGGAAGGAGTGTGCTGATTCTCTCACACTGCCTTTAACAGATCTCTTTAACAAATGCCTCACTACGGGTGTGATCCCGGACATTTGGAGAACGGCCAGTATCACTCCAGTACCAAAAAATGGATCTCAAAAGTATCGCCCAATTGCATGTACATCTGTGCTCCTAAAAGTTTTCGAAAGACTGTTAATTCCGCGGATTTTTTCAGCCGCTCCTGAAGACGATATCTACCAGTTTGCGTATAGACCCAGCGCTCCACATTGGATGCAGTGGCATATCTTGTTCATTCTATAGCCTCTGCATTAGATCAAAAATGTTAAATCCGTACGGCTTCCTCTTCCTGGATTATTCGAATGCCTTTGGAAGCCTGGATAGGTCAATGTTGCTAAACCTGCTATCCGAAAATGGAGTTCACCCTGGTGTGTGTAATCTGTTACGTGACTATTTTACAGATCGTACTCACTTCACCAAGTTGAACGGTAAGAAATCCTCTGTCCTCCGTGCCGACTGTGGTGTTCTGCAGGGAGCGATCCTATCACCTTTCTATTTTCCTTGTATGTTGAACATCTCCCTATACAAACCACGTTTATAGGGTGTAAATATGCTGATGATGTTGTGCTGGGATGTATGTCCCCCACTAACCAGGATTCCTCATCACTTCAACGTGGGTTGGAAGATCTGGTGGAATGGTCTTCATCCAGATCTCTTACGCTTAATGCTTCTAAATGCAGTGATGTAATATTTTCTTTTCTCCGTGGCGATAAGTTGCAGTCCCTCATAGATTTCTCCCCCACACTTACTGTGAATGAAAATCCCATACCCAGCTCTTCCACCGTCAAGTATCTCGGCGTCTTTTTGTCCCAGAACCTTTCTTGGTCCACGCATGTCTGTAAAACTTTTCAAAAAGTCAGAAAACTTTCTTTTTATGCCCTCAGACTTAAGGTGCTTTCAGTACCTCGTACTTTAATATTCAGGTTTGTGACCTCTTGCATTATTCCCCATTGGTTATACTGCTCTCCTGTCATTTTCCCTGGACTGCTTCAGAAAGACTACATCTTATTGGTGCGATCTATAAAGCACATTTCTAGATGCAGCGGCTTGTCTAGAGATTCTTTAGTTGATTTGATCATTTCTAGACATCTTGATGCCTGCAATGATTTTTCTTCTAAGGTACTAACTGATCGATTTCATCCACTTCACAATGATCTTTCCAAAACGCTCTCTTTCTCTTCTACTCGTTCGAAATTCAGAATTTTATTCTCCCGCACGTCATCGTATCGTAATACTGTTTTGCCTTATCTCTCACGTTTGCTTGTTGACCCAGCGAAAGTCACTAACATGCTGCGCGAGCGCTTGTTGGAGTAACAGTTCTGCTTTTTCCCATTTTCTACCCAAGCATGTATATTGATATTATCATCCAGGTGTCCGCAGTGGTGGTGTAAATGCTGAAAATGAACCCATTAGGGTTCATAAAGCTTATTTTGACTTGACTTGACTTACCACCAGATCTAACTCGCGCAAATCCTAGTTTGAAAGATGTACACTCACAAAGCTTGCTTCTGACTGATCGTACTTGCTGGTGTATGACAAATGAAGGTTGAAAATATGCAAGACTAGTTCCCAAACTCCCAGGGTTACTTGTGACAGACCGCAAGCCAATGCGTTGCACTCTACGATTACTCGGCCTAACTTAACCTGTTTCCTGCTGCGTTGTGAGCTGAATCGCTGGACAAAATCCATATTTGAGGAATCCACCGCAACTGGATAAGATTATCTACCCATACCGAGCAGTTGCCAGTTGACTATTTTCGTTTCCCTCCCTTTTCGCAAATGAAGATTTTTAGCTGGCTAACCGTGACTTCACCTGCCACACTGCCATAGAAGCCAGGTTGGAATTCAAACAAGGACACCATTCCTTATTGAGCTCTTCAACATCCAAAAGTTTTATCCGATCAGTAAACCGGTGACGCTGGTTCTATTCTACCCTACCTTGGAGTCGGTGTAGTTTCTCCCAACCAGGAATGCGGTTGGCAAGCGCAGGTCCAACCGTTGAGTTTACAAATGTCCCACTACGGTGCTGACGATTCAATTACTGGCTGTGGGCGCAATGATGTTTCCTAACAAGCGGTTCCATAAAACATGCTGCCATCCGTTGAGCACTATGCGCCCATGTCTCAAGTTGAGTCAAGTTTTGCCGTTATCTCTGCACGTTTCGCTGTCAACAGCGGCGTTCGCATCAAGTACCCCAAGTCCCCTTCCCTCCTACCACTCATTGTGGGTGTAGACTTGAGATCTCCAAAACACCCGAATAGTTTTGAATCAATGTTTTTCCACCATTGTGCGACTAACTTAATTGATATGGAAGACAACGTCAGCATATTTTGTATATGTAAACCTCACGTAAGTTACATTCGAAAAATGAAAAGTGCTGACCCATCACTGACAATCAACTGTTGCTGTGTTTAGTCTCGGAGATAATGGCTTGAACAAGTTGGTATCGCCGTTCATCTGGGAAACCGCGCTTCCTTGTTTCCCCAAATCTCAGCCAATTTTTGCCATTCTAAAGTATGTGGCACCATCGAAGCGTCTGCCCCTTGCATAATGAGAGAGCATCTAACACCGCTGTTCGCGCAGGTTTAAGGTCTAGATATTGCTGTCCGGTTTCAGTAGACTAGATTCTTAACCTTTCGGATCGTAGCAATAATTTTTGTAGGGGATCATTGTGTGATGGTACAATAGGTTTTTTGCATTCATGAGTTTCGACGACAAAATTAAGAATTGCATGTCTCTCTTGCTCGGTCACCTGATCTAGTCAAGCCAGTTTAGACTGACAGGTTTCACCGAAAGCATGCCATACTTACATTTATCATATCAAGCTCCGTTTGTTCGGGTAGACTGTATTAAATGTGATGGTTAACTTTCCGTTCAACGACAAAGCATAGTTTCGCAGGATTGCGATGCTGTCGTCGACGGACCTGGGCCTCTTTCCGAATGAAGACCCAAAGTCGAGGATCACTGTCAGCAATCAACAACGGAAGATAAGCTGAGGAGAAGGATTCACTGGAGACCTTACCAGCATGGTTGATTAAACTAGTGTGTATAACGTTCGAGAGACACAAAATAAAAACATGAGGATAATGTTATAAAATAAAGGTTAACTTCTCTTATCCTGGGTGCTTAATATCTTGACTTTTATGGTTTGACTGTCTCTATGTCTACCAAATGAAATGCTGCTAACTTGTCAATAACGTGGCATAAATTCTGCCAATATTAAACTCTTATTTCTTCAATAGCTGCTCAAAAATCATCCGCATTTGTTACCTATCATACCAAACGTACTGCGCTCGGACCCAGAAACTACTATTTTTTGCAATAGGGAAATGGGCTTATATTGTGCTGGGATTATGTAAAATTAGGTAAACTCCTCATCGCGTTAACGAAATAAATCGGGCTCACGCGGTTCTACGGTTCAACTATGAAATGATATGAAGATTACAAGTTCCAAAATCGAAACATATATAACCCATTACTCAAGGATGGTAAGGCGGATTTCATCACCTCAGTTTGGCGACTGATTTGGCTTCGAACAAAAAGTGTTAGGAGAATAATTCAACGTGCATATTTCATTCTGCAGAGACTATGAGGCGTTACGTGTCACATGAACCAGGCTCGTGTTTCGGCTTCATTTCTAACAGGGAGGGTATCTACAGCCAAACCATTGGCTCGTCGAAGGTTCACTTCACAGAAAACATGGAAATGTTGCCTTACATGAAACATAAACTGAGTACTTATTGACTCATTACATGGTATTTTGATATCTCAGACGCTGCCGCTGGCGGGGCAAATGCTGACCATCTGCTGAACAGTCATACTTGAGCAATTGAGTGTCGGCCTGGAATTAAGCAACGTACCTAAACTGTAAGCAACCGCACACCATGTGACCGCGTCCGGCTTATGCGTATTTGCCTTGCGCTATTTCATCTACCAGTACAGCGTCACTTTTAGTGACACCATGATTGCTTTGGTGCAAGTTAATTGTTATGGTTTCATCGTTTGCTTGTCAGTGCAATAGATTCAAACAAGGTAAACATTTCTTAGGTTTGAGGATTGGGGGAATATGGCCAACCAAAACTCAAATGTTCACTTATCACTCGTGAGAGAAGTAGAACGCAGATGATAGTGCTTCCGTTGAACTTCATTGCATGTGAATTCCGTTTATAAAAAGCACCAACTTTTCGCGTTTCTTTCATCTTTAGATTTTGCACTTGTCCGAAAAGTTTTGTTTTGGATAGGTATCGTTTCTTTAGAGATATTGTGCATTTTCCATTTTATTCTAGTCTGATCAGCTCGTTCTATCGTTAAGAATGTATGCTGGTAATTTGGAATCTTCATTCCTTTACTCTCTGTTTTATCAGCCGGTCAGCCACATTGACGAAACTGCACGGCAGCGTGAAAGAGCTCAAGTTGAAAAGGAGATGGAAAAGCTTTGTGCGGCTTTGCAATCCCTTTCTCGTTCTGCTTTACCTCTCGGTAAATTGATGGATTTTGTACAAGAAGATCTGGAAAGTATGCAACAAGAATACGAGCGGTGGACTGTTGAAAACCAAGAACTACAAATACGCTTACGTCAAGAAGAAAGGTCTGTTTAAATGCCGTACATGTGAATAGCTTTAAAGATGGTAGATTGCTCAGCAAATTACGAGCAGACATCCTTTATAATAATTCCATGTTGCTTGCCTCCAGCCCACAAACAAGCCTACGTCACCGCTATCTAATTGAAACGTAATGACATTGAGCGAACGGGGCCAACGTTGAACACTTACCAAACGTAATACTAAGATCAGCCGGCGTTTGGTGATCCAATAGAACAAGAAACGACGTCACGAGATTTTAAGCGATGGTCCTTGCGGTCGATGCTCAGCTCATTTCTGTCGATGGCAACCTGCTAACCGTTGAAGCAAAGGTTATCGCCCCTGTGCGTCCTTGGTGGCATAACTATACCAACCGTTTAGATTTTTTCAGTTATTATGCAAAATAGTCACGACTCCAGTAAGTTTTGTGTGTCTTCGCAAGTAAACTCTGACGTAGTGTAAATGTCATAGTAATAGTGTTGTTTGGTACACTGGAACTGCTGAGCGTACTGTGAATAACATAGTACCTTATCAAGTTACCTTGCAGAAGATGTAGAAATAATTCGCCCGGAATAACCTACGATACAGTGTTACTCACTGCTCTCCTGCTCAGCAGGAGACGTCAAATCGAGATAAACGACTCACCGTTGGCCATCATCCAGCTCGCCACTTTGGTGAGTTACTTAGAACTGCTGACTTATCACTATGCGTCATACTCCGGATAAAGTATATTGTTTTACAGAGCAGCAGTAGGGGGAATAGAATGGTATAGAAATTCTTCACACTTGGACTCACTTAGACAGCCGTCAGACGCCTGTGAAAGTACTGTACACGCTTTTCATCCTTTTGGGAATCCTCATCATTGCGCATTCCATTGGACTCTGGTAGGGCACAAACCCGAAACTCGACTGTTGCCAGTCCGTGGTTAAGATCACTGAGCTACGGCGGACGGCAACGACCATCGTAAATAAGTTACTAGATGTGATATAGTGCCGTTCACTATCCACCGATTTATTCGGGTGAGGGGGCTACCCTGTCCCCTGCACGGCTGTAACGTATAAGTCAGTGGATGGTGAGCGGCGCTATACCACATCTAGTAACTTATTTACAATGGTCGTTGCCATTCCCGTAGGTCAATGGTCCCAACCACGGGCTGGCAACAGTGGAGTTGCGGGTTCGAGCCCTACCAAGGTCCGATGGAATGCTCACTGCTGAGGATTTCCGAAAGATGAAAATCGCGTACAGTGTTTTGTTTTAGGTTATTCACATTTTACTACTATGTTCTGCTGCACCAATTGTTAACACTGGAGAACTGACCACTTTTACACTTTTGTCCGTACATATTTTTCGTATTCTCTCAACCCATCCGTCGCGCTGTTTATAAGCATCATTGTTAGATCGCTTACCGAACTTAATCCGTTGGTGTGTCAACGTGACTCCAGGATCCCAGTTTAGCACATTGGTAACCAAACCATCGCCAACGTGTATGGTTTGTTTTACTGTAAAATCGCTTGTATACCATGCTAATGTACTAAGCTATTGTGAGACAGATCTTTGCCGTCCATTGGCGAAGTTAAGCTTCAAAATGACGTAAAAATAGACACCTGTATCCTGATTCATTGGCTATTTTCCAAATATGACGCAGTAATTCTTTCTAGAATCACCTCAGATTTGCCAATGCACTGACGTTGTTGACTACCACTACTCTAACAGTTGACCATTCACCACCGTCTTGTATGTACGAGCCCTGTTCTTACTTCTATTTGGAAACACTTGTATACATTCAACTCGCTTTCCACACCAAAGCAATTCATTTTCCTGAGGGAATTCTTTTCAATGAGTTTAACAAAATGGTAAGCAGATACATAACCTGAAATCCGGCTGGTGCCCGGACATATTGTGTGCACGTTAAAGTTGCTCGAATATCTTTTTAGAAACAACAACCTAGAACAAGATAGGGCAATAGAAAAAGGATTACTCGTCTGAGTTGGACTACTACAGAATCGAGGTGTTTGTTCCGAATTAGTTCTACTATCTATCCTATTGACAACCTGTAGCTAAAGTTAGAGGTAGAGTGTTTGACGCACAAGTGTACTAACTGCTACGCATTTGTTGGAAAGCTAGTCATTTTATGACTTGAAAGATGATATTTGGCAGAGCTTATAGCTTACATTTTAATTTGTATATTTATTTTTACACGAAATGCGTCGACCTTGACGAATATATGACATTTAAAACAATTAGTTCCCTTCAGTAGTTTGAACAAGGAATTGAGAATACGAATATTGGCATATTATTAGCATTATTAGCATTATTATTATTAGCATTATTGGCATTTCATATTATCTCGTTAGTACCAATAAATTAACAGGCGAATCTCTGTATAATACTTTTGGGACATAGTCAAACCATGAAGGATGAGTTCATATGTATCTATCGAACATGTCCCACGCTGACAACAAGTAGGTAACCTACTACACAGCAGACATTGTCAAATCACATTTTGCCTGTGGGTGATATCGAGAGCCCACACCGTCCTTAAAGCCTCATACAAACTTATTGGAGAGTGCTGTTCACTGGTGATGAACGAATCGGAAAAATTTGGCAGACGCAGTTTTGTATGCTTACATCCGAACCGGTAGACTGGACTGACAAGGCTATCGAGTTCTCTTCGCGATTCGTCTGGAGGTATAGCTAGTCGGCTCTGGTCAAGAACAAGAGTAGGGACGTCCTGTTAGTCACAGAATTAAATGAAAAAGCCTGCTTTTTGCGTATATAGAAGCATAGCTTTCTAAAGCGGTGAGGTCTTTCTACAATTTCTAACGCTGCGATCTGACTACTTTTCATAACCAGAACACAACGGTCATTGATAGGGATGAGAACGTCCATCAGACAGCAACCCGCCTCCCCGAGTAATTTCTCTGTTATCAGGTAACTACATCTCTATTAGAAATGTATGGGCGGGTATGATACTTATGTATGTTAGAGTGAATTCAAATGACTGCTAACCTGAAATAATAATAATTTGCTATTACGGTATTTCTTCTTCGCGCAAAAATGAGCCAAATCACTGCGGCGTGTATAGCCGACCACACACCTCACGGAGGTAAGAGTTACCATTGTTTTTCATCCACTAGATGCTACTTCGGTATCCGATAGAGTCAGTCACGTTGCCAACTTTACACCCAACTCTACAAAAAACAACTTTCATGCCCCTTAAGGTTTCACTTTTTCGGTAGCATGCCACCGTGAAATATAGATGTGAATAAAACCCACCAACGTGTATGCTGACATTACTTGACTTTGCAACTCGTGGGCGCAGAATTACGACATTCCTGGCAGTCACAGATGACGCGATTTCATTAGTGTGGATCGTTTGCCGGCATCAGATGTTGTAGAAAAACGGCTTCACCTAGCCAATCAGGTCATAATAAAACTTTCGACTTCCTTTTGCATGCGCTGCCTTTAGCTCTTGGAAATAATCTAAGCCCGTGGAAAAGTTGTCGCTAGTGACATTCGACTGTTAAGGTCTTCAAGAGCTGACAAACGAAACGTGCCTTCAACATGAAACGAGTAGCCGATCCAGCGAAACCTCGTAATATGTTTCTTCTAGTCACCGCCCTGAGCGACAAAGAGTATGATCAACAGTTTGAGTGAAACTTTGTGTGCAAAATCGCAGTATTCAATGTTGGTTAGCGGGTTGATCGTGGCGCTTCGAACAACTTTCTGATTGGTCTCTGGCTTTATCCATCTCTAAGTTGAACAGGACGCTATCGAGCTACACTACCTGCATCGCTGCAACCCCTCTGACCAATACATTGCCTCTCCGACCCTCATCATAGATTGTGGTGCGACCCTCAAAGAAATTTTATCGTTTGAAGTTCAGGTGATGTTTAATTTTGTTAAAAATTGTGACCGAAAATCTAATCAACATCCATGTTACCATCATATTTGCCTTTATTTCCTATTTTTATCCACCACTACTTTAAGCTGGATAATTCGAGCACAAAATAGGACGCGTGCGACAGAAGTTGCATTCCGCTAAGGTTGCATCTGCATTGGTCATCTGTTTAGAACCCAGAAAAAGTGCGAAAACCACCAAACATTCAAACGGTTATCCACCGTAGTTCTTCTGGTCGCTTGAGTCGGGTTCACCTTAGTTGCCACTGCCACACTATTTGATCGGCTACTGTGTGACGCTGCGCTTTCGAGAACTACATTTGATTCTTCCAAGGTATTCGTCCTAAAATTTTAAACACTAGTTTGGTCCAGGGATCATCGTCCCACCTGCTAGGGAGGGTATAGTAATAGTACTCTCCGAATGACGTCGAGCCATTTTGAGCTATCAACATTCTGAAGTGGACATCGCTGTACTTCTTGTCAAATTGCAGACTGTCCGAGATATTTTGGGCCGCTTGGTGATCTCGACCTCGTAGCTCTTAATCTTTTTCGGACATTCGGAGTGTAAGTTCTTCTTTGGGGATTGGCTAATAGTTGATCATTTTCAAACATTTGCAAGTTACTTCTTGGAGGAGGTTCATGCTCTGGTTTTGTGTAATGAACGAAGAATTACAGAAAATGTTCAAATCCTGGTAATTCTTTGGTAATTTTTGTCGATTCTACCAGCGTCATTCTCTTAGTCAATACCCAAAAACCAAAATCTACGATGCAACGGTACAAGCAGTTTTTCTTCACGGAGGTAAATCTTCTACCTTTATTGCAAATGATGCTTAAAGGCTGTCTATTCTGGATTAGATCTGTCTTCAGGATCTTAGTAGTGTATGGCAAAAACATCAGTAACGATGATATTTGAGAAGGATGTTTCAAGTCAGACCGACTCAACTCATCAATGAATCAGATAATTCCACTACATGTCATCGGTGACTTGGTCGAATCGTTCAAATACCTGCCCACCGATTATCTCGATGGGCGCACTTTCAGTATATTTGGTGAAGGCCTCAGTGGATAAATCACGCTATATTGACGGCAGTGTCATGATGCTGATTGAACGCGAGCTGTGCTGGATCGTGATACATTTGTGATTTTAAACGCAGCTGCTCTGAAGATACTAATTTGGAAATGCATTCAAGACTTGTAAAGATCCGTTCGCAGGACTAGATCTGTTGGTAGATTCTACTCAATTGATACTCGTATTCTTGTGCGTTTTTGTGTTTCATTGTTTTCGAAATTCATTTTTATTTTTAGTGTTGTATATATATATATATGTTTGCACTGTAAGAACACAATTGTGATGTTTGAAATAGGTGGTTATGTTTTCGCATTACCACAATGATGCGTGCCTTTTCCTGATTTCATCAGAGTTGGCTATCGTGTATATTATTCCAAATCTTGACTGAATCACCATGGATGCTGAACTTCAGCAATCTCAATTTCCATTTAAATGTGTGAATCTAATTTAAGCAGGTACTGAGTAAAGAATTCCTCTCAGTAATTCTCCTCAGACCCCAATTTTACATAGTGGCAAATACATGTCACATGTGCCGGACTGGCTGAATATTGCTTAGAATGTTTAATTACAACGGAATCCAAACGACAATTCACACGGTTACTGAAGGTAGTAGATTAAATGCAAATCACTTTTATACGCAAAGATTAACTAGTAATACAACTCCAGTAATCATGTAAAGGCAGTTTCCGGCCACGGTAGTCGTAAGGGATGCGCAAATTGCTTTTATACGCACACCTCCAGCTTGAAGTGGGGGATATTGATAGCGTCAGCAATAGATAAAAGACTTTTCCGGTCACGCAAACTCGGAAAACGGCCTCAGAGTCCTGTAGCTTTTTCTCGACTGTATCTCGCGCGTATTCCGGGTACAACTTTTATTACTTATTCAAGTCATCAATATCCGCTGCTTCAAACTGAGCTTGGGTGTATCAGTGCAACTGGCGCACCCCTTACTTCTACCGTGGTGTAAAACTGCCGTTGCATGATCCTTTGATTTGTGCCCCAGTTTAGCTCTGATGTTGAAAGTGATTTGTATCTGATATACTACCTTCGGTGACCGCGTGATTTATCGTTTACTTTCCGTTGGAATTAAATATTCTAATCAAAAGTCAGCTCAGTCCGGCACATCTGGCATATAATTGTCGAAGTCTAAGGAGAATTAGTACGTGCCGCACTTTGATGTATTTCGTCCTCCCATCAATTGCTCCGATTCTATGTCTCTTTTATAGACTTCCTATTTGATGCATTCATTTCGCTCATGTATATCTGGGTGTTCGATTTTAGTTGTCTTAACAGACCTGCAACGCCAAGATCTTAAAATGAATGCGTTTTGCACCACGTTACGCAGGCATAAATTCAGCAAATAATGCTCGCCACTTAGTGCTACTATTCCACAATGTTGGGTTCGAAATCTTCCGAGTGCATGGATAATCCACCTACGGATATCTTGTGCCATGGGTAACTTCTAAGAATTTATTGGCTCTGTGTGCACTCGCCTTTCCTGAGGTTTATGTAACGTTAACCGTAGCCACCACCTTTTGAGTTAGCGTCTCAACTCAATAACAGCAAATTATACCTGAGACACACTAAGCGGTTTCCGTTTTGTACAGCGTCTATCTTATCTAGGATAACTTGATGCGGTTTTTGCTGGTACTGAACGTTTGAGAATATCTGAGTCACTGTTCTCGTTGTGTCGCTTTTTTCGCAACAACAGCCATTCTGTTTCCATTTCCCAAACAGCCTGACCCAGTCATCGATCGATCCACTTCGCTCCCAGTTGGCGGAATTGCGACAGCAGTGTGCGGAACATCGCAAAGCCATAGCCAGCTGCAGTGCAAAAATCCTGACAAACGAAGAACGCATTCGAGATATGCTCTCAAGATCAGTGGAAATAGTACACTAGCCGCAATTACAAAACAAAATAGAGATTTCCCTGAATATGTTGTGTTGATATAAAATAAAGAATTCTTCGAGTTCAAACTTCATTATTATGCAGGCCAATGAACCATTGATATTAGTGTTGGATAGTACTTTCCTGCACCAATTGCAAGGGTTTTCAGATTTAGTGATGTATCATCTTACTCCTAAGACTCCAAACAGTTTACTGATCGAAAGTGATCAGGAATAGCTCAGGATGGGATTTTCAAAGCATTTTAAACGAATGGAGCCGTTAAAGTGCGTCTTCAGTCTACAGACTTTTGGTCCGTTGGATCCTTTTAGCATCCGCCGGTAAATCTAGCCCATTGCACCGGACATACTGCTCCGGACACAAAGTGCTCGATGTCAAATAGGTTCGAAGTAGTAGTACTAATAGTAGTAGTAGCCGTCGTCCTCGTAGTAGCAGTAGTAGTGGTAGTAGTAGCAACAGTAGTAGTAGTAGTAGTAGTGGTAGTAGTAGTATTAGCAGTAGTAGTAGCACTAGTAGTATAGTACGCAGTCTATCAAATAGACAGGACCAAACATAGCCATGGAAATCACAAAAATGAGACAGGTTGAACACCACATCAACATCATGGCACACTAACTGAAGGTGAGCAACGCACTTCAGCTATTGTGCTGCAATATAGAAAACAACGGAGCATCTTTTTTACTTGCACACGCCGTTTTTTAAAACTTTTTGTCGTTTTTGGTCGGTAAGCATTAAGTATTCAAATCTAAGCGGTTAAATACAGATCCTTCACTGGTTTCCGTTACGAGCCATATCCTGAAGTTCCCAGCCATCGGCACTCCTAGTCCTTTGGTCCCCACTCAGGTAGACGTGTGGACCTTATGGTATCAAGACTTGAAGTCAACGATTTCATTTGCTGTCGAGAGATGGATGGTGGACCACCAAGTGGTCACTTCCAGTTGACTCCTGCGCCATTAAACAAAGCACGTAGGGCAAACGCTCAGTTGATATACGCAAGACATGTCCGATCCATCTTGACTGACGAAACAAAACCAGCTTGCTGAAGGGAATACTCGCATTCCCTAAAACACGGCCTCTGATTTCACTGTGGCAAGTATGTCGTTGACACATAAGCAATCATACTCAAGCACTCGTTGTCGAAGGCCGAGAGGCGGCGCATATCGTCTACGTGAACTGGCGATGACTGGCTTCCATATAACAATAGCGCCCAAAAGGCTAGCTTGCCGTACTACCTCGTGGTGCCTGCTGGGTGGTTCGGGATTATTCCGTTCCAACGAAGGTTCAGCGGCAGTGTTCCAGGACGTGGTGGGTTTTCGCCTGGCAAGCGTTCTCCCCATAAATAGTCACATGGTCCAATTAACAACACTGCGACCTGGCGGATGTGACTAGCCACTAAATAAAATCACCGCACCTTGCTTCACATCGCTGAAACATTGTGATTATTCAGCTTGACACTGAATTACTGGGAGTATTGGGCCCCTGTTTGTCAGCCAGCCAAACGAAAGGCGCATGAACCGAGCAATCGATCACCGGATCCCAATGGGCACAATTCCCTGCTTTCGCCCCGCTGCCTTGCGGCTCAGGCCCTTTTGACCGAAAGCTCGGGGTGGGGCCCCCTAACTCAACCCCCCTCCTCGGCCTGGGCAACCGGGAAGCTGTATGCCCACACGACACATGAAATGATGGATTTACTACTCACTGCTCACGTTTCTTGCTCTCTGAACTCTCTCTGTCTTTGGTCGGGGTGTCTTCGACCGGACATGCTAAACCTAACTCTACCGCCCCGCAAAACACGTTCTTCGTTCCAACTTTATTTAACTCTCTTGCTCTTGGCAACCCCCTTCAATTTCGAGTCCCAAAAAGTGCATTGCAAATAAAAATGGTACCCTCGATCTCATCAATGAACCGCTCAAAACCACTCGCACACATTCCAATTCCAACAGCAAGGCTGTTATTGCCCCCCCACTCACTCTTCAAGCTAGCTACGTTCAATGTTCGAACGCTCATGCATATTGCTTTACAAGCTGTTCCTCTGTGCGCACATCGGAAACCCTCTCAATCGATGCTTGCTGCGTAAGCGAAACCCGTTTACAAGACGCCAACACAACGCTGCGATTGCTCTCACCCTCCTGAAGTTCCAAGTACACATTCACCTTGCGCATACCTGAAGAGGCGACAGCGGCAGCCTCTGGTTGCATCGGGGTAAGAGTTGCTCTAAGCGCGTGCGCTGAGGCAACGGTCATTGTCTGGTTCCCGGGTAACAACCGTCTTTTTGCAGTCCGCTTTGAATGTTCAGTGCGATCTTCCATCCACGGGACCAGTAGGCACTGTGTATTCATTGTGGCGGCGTACGCTCTTACGAACTGTAGACCGGACGATGCTAAACAGGATTTCTACCGCCAACTCACCTACCTCCTCCGCTAGATACGTCGCGCGGACATCATGATACTCGCCGGTGACCTAAATGCGCAGGTCGGTAGACTAGAGGTTCATGAGCGCGAACTTGTGGGTCAACACAGCCACGCTACTCGCAGGACGGATAACGGCGATCGACTGTTTCAACTGTGCCCCGACCATTGCTTTTTCCTCTCCAGCACCATTTTCCGATGTTCCTGGCGCCAACGACCCACTTGACGACCTCCGACACCTGGTCAAGTTTGGACACAAATTGACCACATCGCTGTTAGTTACCTATGGCGAGGTTACACAACGGACTGCAAGTTAATTTGGAACACTTGCTTGACTTCGGATCATGCGCTCCTGTGTGCTAACTTCGTTCTGCGCTTCGAAGGACCTCAACAACGTCGCCGGAAACTTCTTGACACAGACAAGCTCGCCACTTCAAATGTGCTCGGGGCATTTCAGAACACATAAGCTTCCAACATACATTCTATATCATCCGATGTTGATATACCCTGGGCACAGATCCAGACTGGCTTACGAAAGTTCGCTACAATGGTCTGTGGCTTCATTAAACGAGTTGCTAGTCATTGGATCTCCGCACAGTCTCTCCAGTTAATTGAAAGTCATCAAACAATTCCCGTGGGAGTTGAGTACAGCCCACTACGCAGAACTACAATTGCTGAACTCAGACAGCCCCGCAGGAAGGATCGCGAGGTTTGGTGGACACAGCGCGTCGTTGAGATGGAGCGGGCAGCCTCATCACGAAACTCCCGCAAACTCCTCCAACTTATTCGCTTCACGGGAGGCGAAAATCAACAGGGAGCGAGGTTTTGCTTGAAAATGACAATGAACTAATTCACAGTCGTCACCGCCGTCTTCTAGTGTTCCCTGGAGCGTAGATGTTTCTCCGCCGACAGAGAATGTGGTTTCTGATGAGTTTCGCCTACTGAAGCGCCACAAGTCACCTAGCCCAAATGAACTTCCCCCTGCCCTCTTCAACTACCGAGGTCCTGCTCTCACTCGCGAACCGACATCTCTATTCCCTCAGATTTGGACCACTGAAACCATTCCATCCGACTTGAATTTAGCGGATGTTGTACCTAATTACAACGTTGAAGACCGGACCATTTGCTCCAACGATTGTGGCATCAGTCACATTTGAGCTCGCTGCCTTACTCTTGCGGAGGCTCAATTGCGTACAGGAACAGCACCTGCGTGAACTGCAAGCTGCATTTCGCCTGGGTCGCGGTTACCTCGATCACATCTTTACGGTCCGCCAAATACTTGAACATTGCCATACGTTCAGTCGACCAACTATATTCATATTCTTGGATATTCTATTCGCTTTTGACTTTGTTGACAGAGCGGCTCTGTGGGACTGCTTACTGAAGAAGGCAGTACCTGAGAAGTACATCAGCATTTTTCGTGCCATTTACCATAAAGTTTCGGGCCGCGTGCGAGCATATGGAACAATTGCGCCGCCTTTCAGTATCGCTAATGGTGTTACACAGGCTTGCCCAGCCCTTCCATTCTTGTGCAACTTCGCCATGGACGTAATCCTGGATACTGCTCTGGATAACTCTGAGTTATGCAGTGTTATACTGCTCCCTGGTGACCGCGTTCGGGACTTAGAGTACGTCGATAACAACATTGTGATTTGCAAGTCCTCTCAAGCCGCCCAGCATGTGTTGCTCAGATTGGAGATGTCCGCCGCCCAATTTGGGTTGGCCTTTGCCCCCCTCCAAATGTAAAGTCCTATTACAGGACTGACCAAGCGCATGCCTTTCTCTCACCCTTTCGGGGCATTCGCTGGAAGTGGTCGACAGATTCAAATATCTTGGGAGTTGTCCTAATGTTTACGTTTTGACAAATAAGATATCTTCGCCTGTCTCCAAGGCTAGAGTCGCTTTCGCTAATCTTCGCCGCCAGTGGCTTCGTCGTGACGTCAAGCTCGCTCTCAAAAGAGAAGTCTATAATGCTACGGTACGAGCAATTCTGCTGCATGGCTGTGGGACTTGGCCTGTTCGCAAAAGCGATGTGCAGCGGTTATCTGTCTTCCATCACCGCTGCCTGCGAAGCATTGCTGGGATTCGATGGCGGCATCAGATCAGTAATGAGGAAATCGGCCGGGGATGCATCAGATCTAACGAACTCCGCCGACCGATTGATAGCATCATTTCACTGCGGAGGCTACGCTGGCTTGGGCATGTGCTCCTCATGCCTACCCAGCGGCTACCACGACGAAGCCTATTTGCGCGCGCAGGAGTGGTCTAGAAGCGACGAAAGGGAGTGCAATGTAAAACTTGGATCTAATGCGTTAAGGCGCAAACGTTGAAGCTGACTGTTGTCGGGCGCTCCCGACTCCCGGCTGGGGGACCGAAGGACCCCGAGCACATCTGGTTGCAAACACTGGCAGATATGGCCAATGACCGTACGCAGTGGCGCACTTGCTGTTTTCATTTTCACGCTATTTTTTCCTCTTATGTATTGTGACACTCAGCCAATTATATTGCAATTGGTAAACCTGAATATATATATATATATATATATATATATATATATATATATTCGGTTGGCGGCATCCGGTTTCG